TATATATATACGCACACGCCCTATCTTTTCTACGTATCAATCTCTTTTACACGTTCAATCGATCCAATGATTGTTCAGAATATATGATATTTATAATACTCTTTTTAATATTCGGATGTGTCGCGACTCGATAACTCGACGATCGGATTATTCATATTTTTAAGGAAAAATTGATTTGACAATCGTTTAAACTCTCGCAATGATTTTAATCCGTTTCTACTAAAACTTTTTACAAAACGTTTTCCGTTTTTTCACTAAAGAATTTCCACGAATAGCACAAATATATGTTTAAGATGTGTTTTGTAAAAAAAAGGAAGAGAAAAAATGGATATAAAAATTTGTATAAAAATATCGTTAAAAAATATATAGGCGGATAAAAGTTAAAAAAAATTCGTTGGCACGTTAGCAGCACTTTAGCCATCATTACACGTATCATCATGTTTCGAGACCGCGGCAAAGACTGAAAACACATTCCTCTCGACTGTCGAATTTTTCTACGAACAATTTTAACCTAAATTTTATATAAAACGTGCAGTCAGTTTCATCGAAGAAAAAAAAAAAAAAAAAAGAAAACACCAAAATTCTGAAACGATACGTCTGATTTTAAATGGTTAACTTTTGATATCGAACTTTACGTACGAATCATTCGATAACGATTAATTAGACGACACTCGTACGGATGAAGAAAGATATTCGATAATCGACGTTCACAATTAGGTTCGTTCACAGTCGCGATGTTCTCCGAAAACGATGCGTTGCCTCGTTGTTTCCCCTTTCGTTCGCGAAAGAAACAACGCCCGCAAGTGTTTTTCCTTTCTCGATCGCCAACTTAACTTCGATTTTTCATTATCATTCCCATTCGACAATAAGTGTTCTTTGTACTTTTCTACGGAATAATCCTTACTTAGCTCAGTCGATAAGAAAAAAAAGAGAGAGAGAAAAAATATTCACGAAAAAAGTAAAAAAAAAAGAAGATGAAAAGGAACTAACGATTTTACGTGTACACTTGCACACATACACACATACACACACATACACACGCGCACACATTCTCAACAGAAAGAAGAAAAAAGTTCACGAACGTAGGTGTCCACGGCGTCGTAAAGATGAATTATTAAAAGAGTAAAGGGGCAAAAATATAAAAAGTAAAAAAAAAAAAAAAAAAAAAAAAAAAAGAGAAAAAAGAAAAAAAAAGGGAAAGAAGAAAAGAAAGAAGAGGGAGGGAGGGAGGGTGAGAAGAAGACGAGAGTACCCTGTATCTGTCACTCGTTGACGAAACATTTCCGAATTCTGCACATACACTCCTTCACTTTTTTCCATATGCGATCGTGTTTTCACTTACAAAGAGGGATCGTCTCGTCCAACGAGTTCTCGCTCATCGCCAAATTTATAAAGATGTAATAAGAATCAAACGGAAACGATTAACGAAAATGGCGGAAAGTAACGAAAATTGAGGGGAGGAGAAATTAAAGAAAGAGGAAAGATTCCGGAGGAACTGGTCGGGCGAAGACGATCGATCGAGAAAAATTACGTGTTGTATATATTAAATATATATATATATATAAAATAAATAAATATATATATATAAATATATTATAAATATTATGGTACGAGATTGAATATAATAGTAATGAATATATATATTATATATATTCTGTGTCGAGGGCACTTGGCTTGCAACTCGTAAATATTAAACTGAATAAACTTATTTATCCACTTGCACTCCAATTGCCGAGCGACCTGTCGTTATCCGTGAATTTTTTGAGAAAAAGACTATTATTGGGCAGAGAGAGTGAGAGTGAGAGTGAGAGTGAGAGTGAGAATGAGAGTGAGAGTGAGAGTGAGAGCGAAAGAGAGAGAAAGAGAGAGAGAGAGAAAGAGTAATATGGTTATTATTAATATAACTTAAGCGTGAGTTTTAAAAAAGAATTTCGCGATGGACGAATGAGAGGAGAGAAATACGATCGTCCCGGTCGTAAAATATTATCTTATCCGGGTGAGAAAAAAGAAGAGAACAGTGCGGGGGAAAAAGAAACTAGAGAGTTGGAAATTACTTAGAAAGTAAATCGATTACACGTGGATTGTACGTTGCCAATTAAATACTATAATTTGTATCGTGTTTGCAGTGTCGAAGCGTCGTTTGTGCCGTTAAAGAGGCTGAGCCGTATGTCATTGTGAGCAACGCACGTTTCTCTACCCATTGCTCTGCTAAATTTCAACACTAGAACTGCCTAAATATATTATAATACAGATTTAAAAACAGATAAAAAAAAAAAAAGAAATGATAAACGAAGATATATGATCAGGGCCCTCTTGTTTTATAGTAATATTAAAAAAAAAAAAAAAATGAAGTTTCACAAATCAAATTTTTGTCAATTATCTATTAGGTTAATCACTGTACAAAGAAATAATATTCTTCATACTGCCAATTTACAAATGTCCGATTTAGCGAAGCAAATGTGCAAGATTCGTGCATTTCTCAACGAATCACGCGTAACGTTTTGTTATGTCGTGTGTATTATTGTGTGACGAGCGATTAAACGTATTAAATGTAATTGTAAAACAAAGCCTAAAGAGAAGGGAAGAAACACATCGTCATACTTAACACGATGATAGGATGATGAAGGACGAAAAGAGTCCAAGGCCGCCCGAATTTTTTTATACACGCATACGCTATATAATTGTACACCGTTTCGAAGTATTTTACAATATTCACGTGTCCAATGATTTTTCTTTTACTTAATCGTCGCGACGAGGACGATCATCCCTTGGACGAAATGAAATTGGGGATAAAAATTTTTGGATGGAAACAATTTCGAGAAAGAATCAAGAATGCCAAGTTAAAATTAATAATTAACCGTGACAGTCTCTCTCTCCCTCTCGAATTTATTTCTCGAGAATCGAGGAACTTTCAACTTTTAATCGAGGATGAAAAATACCACGTTCGATCCAAGGTGATCGTCTTCGATCGATCGGCGACGAAAAATGCATCGAACCGGAATATCAAGAGCGAAGAAAAATCAGCACAAAACGGATGAAACGACGAACGAAGAGCCGTGTCTAAAGGAAATCTCACTGCCAATGTATACACTCCGAAAATCCTTCACGATAAATCGAAGGATGCGGAGGATTTCATCGTTTCGCTCGAATCCTCTATCGAATCCTATCCCCTGGCAACCTAGAAACGAATTTGTCGAGGAACTCGTGTACATGGAGAAAGAAACAAAAAGAATAAGGGATGGAGAGAAAGAGGAGGGAGAACGAGAAAGAAAGGAAGAAAAAATAAAAAAAAAAAAAAAAAGAAAAAGACGAGCATTCGTTGCCGTCTGTGGTATACATATACGACTTGTGTTCGACGACCTGTTCGTGCAACGCGCTTACGACAATGAAAGCACGTCGATAAAGCAAACGATAATCGATTAAACGCGAAACGATCGGAGAAAGGGAGAAATATAGAGAGGAGGTGGAACGTCCTTTTGTAAGGAATATTAAGCGCGGATATAATACGTTGATGTACAAAAATTCCTTGCGGTACATTTTAAACGATATTAAGCCGCTTATTTCGTAATTCATTTCTAATGGTTCATTATTCTTAATGGTTAATTAATTATTATTTAAAAACGATACGATGATCATGCTGCGATTACACTCGTACATGTATATTATATCTATTTGTATCAAAGATACATATAAATATGTTCTCGTTAGATCTATGCTCATACGATATATGGAAATATCGGATCTTTTTTCTTTTCTTTTTTTTCTTTTTTTTTTTTTTTTTTTTGATCTTAGAATATAAACAAAGAGATCGAATATAAAAAAAAAAAAAAAGAAACGTTTTCGTCGCGAAAGAAAAAAAGGACGAGAGAGGTTGAAAATTTGTAAAACTTCTAATAAAAATTAACGAGAAGATTTTTAGTGTAATATTATGAGAAAGCATGATCGTTGGCCATACAATGGAGTATATATATATATATATTTATGTTAAGTCTAGATATTAAATACGACTATAAAGATCACGAGGGATATTGACGATCGCGAATACCTGATTACGGTGTTCTCTGAAACATTTTTAGAATGTTGATCATCGATCGGTTGAGCACAAGCATGCTACATACCGTTGTTGAAAGGATACGATTATGATTTTTTGGAAACATTAGTTTTTCATACTTCGGTTGTTTCTTCTATCCTTAGAATTCATTTTTCGTAACGAGGGCCCAATATGTGTATATGCGAGTCACCGAGAAGGAAAACACTTTAAGAATACTTCAGAGATCGCTTAACTTTAAACGTTAAACTTAAAAGGAAAAAAAAAAAAAAAAAAAATTGAATAGGGGAGAAAAAAAAGAGAAAAAAAAAAGAAAGATGGATCAAATCACTGTTTGACAAAACGAAGAAGAAAAACTACGAAAACGAAGAAGAAACGGAAAAAAAAAAAAATGAATGAAGTTTTGAATGTTATTATATACGGTCGATAAGTGAAATAACGAATAACGCGTGTTCGTGCACGCGGCATCTACACATATACACCCACACAGCATGTATACACGTACACACTACGACCACGTAAGGAACGAACACGAAAAGAAAATGAACATGAACATTTTGTATCTGTAATTGTAGATACAACGCAATAGGCAAGAGTAAATTTAATTAAGAATTCAAATGAAATTAATATATAGAAGAGCTGTATGTAATTAATTGTAAGTTCATTCATCGCTATGATATTATAACTTAGGTATTATATGATTTTTGAAATAAAACATTTGTTTTAAATACATATATAGAACGTACACGAGAATATGCCATCCCGTCACAGCAACTTCGTTCAAAAGCTTAATTTTCAATTCTTTCATCGATCTATCGTTCGATAATAACTTCGAATAATCGATCGATTATAATATCATAAATAATTAGAATCGGGAATTGAAAATTTTATTAACGCTCGTGTTATTCGATCTGATTAAACGAAATCTGTTTTTTTTTTCGATTATTTACAGGTAACACGACGTCTAGGAATCTTGGCGAGTCGTGAGTATTTATCTTTTCTTAAAAAAAAATTTCCTTATTCTCTTTTAGTAGCACAACTCACTTTAAATATTTTGCACCGAATTTCGTAACTAATATTTTTCTTTTTCCCTGCTGGTGCTTCGTAGAAGAGACAAACACACTTAAATTTATGTTACTTTCTTTTCTTTTTGTATATATATACGAATAAAAACGACAAGAAAAGAATGAAAGACAAACGCAATCGATATCAGTTGAATTACATCTATCGGTATTTACCATATTACCAGGAAATCGCGCAGAATCAAAGACTTTGCGGATCCGGCAGCGAGCGTTAATCTACTTCGTTTTGAGAAATCGATAAGCCAAGACGAAACGCAAAGGCAAGAGTTTTATTTTCTACTTTCCTTCAAAGAAAGAAACATCAAGCTTGTGCTCAATGTTAACGTCATAATTTTTATGGAAAATACCGAGATAATTATAATCCGTCGCTTGTTACCTTATAATTTCTACATTCCCTGTTTACTCGCTGTTTCTTGTGTACGTCTGCTTATTAATCAGCTTTAACTTCTCGCTCTCCTTACCTACGTTCAATTTTTCCATGCTTCTTGATAGATATTTATATGTTTAGTCACTGTAACAATCAAAGCAACTTAATTTTTTTTTCTTTTTGCGAGAAATTACATAATCTCATCTTTATGACAAATATTGTAATTCGCAGTAGACAAATTTTTAATTTTCCGTAATAATATTGAAAAAAAATATATAATCAATTCATTCATTTATGCCTTCATATTATGAACGTTCTAAAAATTATAATTTTGATTAACCATATTTTATAACATATTTTAATAATTTTATATTATTAAAGTAACATTATTTTGTATAAATATAATAACAAGTGAATTTATAATATTTTTCCCATTTTTTCGAAGCGATTCTTTAAAACTGACGTCAAAAGTATTTTATAATTCAAACTTTATAAAAATCAAACGAGAAAAAAAGATATGTATATACCATTGCACGTATACGTTAAAGACATAAAACTTTTTTTTTCTATTAGATTTTATCTTGATTATTTCAATATGTAAATCGTTTATTTCGCATTTATCGATTTATTTCGCAATAATCAATAATACTACTTTATTTCACATTAAAACTATTTTATTTCTCTTGTTTATTTTTCTATCTTTTAATAAAATAAAAATTCGAAAATTTTTGTTCAGTTACACAACAATCACTTCGAATTTATTCTCGTAATTGAATAATATTCTCATATATTGGAATAATTGTTTCAAAAAAAAAAAAGAAAGAAAGAAAGAAAAAAAAAGAAAGAAATGAAAATTAAATATCAAACAAACTTTAAAAAGAATAAACTGTATTGATTAGAAGTGATACGGAAAGTGCCGGCCGCTATTCCAGAACGGAAGTGGATGGATCCCGAGAAGAACGGAAATCGAGAATCAGTCTGTCTAACCTATTTAAACGCAACAAGGATAAAGTGTCTGGCGCTGACACCGATACCATGAGAACTGTCGTTACAGTGGATGATGAGAAGGTAAACAAGTTATTCTCGAATAATCTTTCTGTCGCGGATTACATTCCTTTCAATCAAATATCATATATCCACTTCGATTAATCGTTAACGCGTTAACTGTTTCTAAAAATTTCCTTTATTCTTATAATAATAATAATAAGGGATGCGTATCGATATATTGTAGAAAAAATTATACGTTTTACTTTTGATCTTTGCATATTTAAATTTAATCGTTTCTACGAATCAAGCGATATTATATTTTAATAGCTCTTATAGATAGATAAGTAGATAACATTAATTATGCTTTTTAAGTTACTTATTATATTTTTATATCGATACCAAAAAAAAAAAAATATTAAATATTCAGCGATTGAAGTGACAAAAAAACTTAAAAAGATTTCGCGATAACCAAGAATATTTTAATATAGAATAGGAAAATAACACGACAAATTCTACATTAAATCCACTCTCTTGTAAAAATTATTTCAAGTGGAATATGATATAAATTATAGAAAACCTTTTAACCGATCGTAAAGCAATGGAATTATAATGGCAATTAATAAGACTGTGAATTCCACAGCATCAAGCAGCACCAATTGCCCAAGGTGTTGCTAAACCAACCACGGACGAAGGAGGAATAGTTTATGCCGAATTGGACTTGACGCAACAGCAACAGAATGTTCCAATTCGGCATCTGAACGAGGACAAAACGGAATACGCCGAGATCTTATACACGAAAACATCGACGGAGGAACAACAGACACCCAAGGAGTAAAATTCGTTCGAGAGAGAGAGAGAGAGAGAGAAAATTTTGCGAAACAATCACAAATTTTTATCTTTTTTTTCTTCTTCTTTTTTTTCGTGATTAACACACATTTGTTACGTTATTTCGATCCTTTTCAGTATACGATAATCGTCCTTTTCGTATATCGTATATTTAGATTTTCTACGTTTTTTAACTTATTCTTAATATGAAATGTGAGTGTACGGTGCGAATCGTTTAATAAGAAAGATAGTGATAAAAATGATGGTAGTACTTAAAAAATATTAAACACCGTATGGTTACATCCGACTGAAAAGGATCTAAACGATCTACTTAATGTTTCTTTTTTTTTTATTATTATTATTTTTACAAATTACTTTTAAGTTATTTTAAATAATTTTAAAATACTAAACGTACACAAGGACATCGAAACATCGACGGTTGAAGAGGAATTCCATTTTTCATAGATCACGCGAAAGTAAAATCGAGATGTAAAATTAGGAAAACTTTGAAAATATTTCCAAAAATTTTAAGAATCAAAGAAAGAAAGAAAACTCTATTACACGGTTTGGTACAATCAAAATCGGAACACTTCTCCTTTTTCTGCTTAATTCTAATTAATCTTTTCACACTCGTAGAGAATCGTTTTAAATTTATTCGTAGGAAGCCACGAGTTCACCGCGAGCTTAAATTTTAAGGTGGAAAAAAGAACGAGCCTACTGGTGTTTAATATATAGGTAACATATACCTATATAAATATATTCGTTACCGCAGCACATTATTAAACCGTTTTTGCCTTCTGATACTCGTCCATTGCCCGTACAAGATTGAGAAAGATCTAACGTTCAAAGTTGAGCAAGCAAAAATAAAATATATAGTACCTCGTGCGAAAAAAATCAAATGGTTGACGCGGCATCGTAAAAAGTGCATTTTCAATGCAACGATTAAAACCTGATTTATTTCTTTCTTTCTGTCGTTGGGGAAAAGGTCAAGAATTCCATAGAATTTCGCGATAATAAACGAAGCTGAACAATCGATCAAGCAATCGAACTTTAGAAATTAATCATTTGAATAAATTACTATGAATAGAAATATAGGGAATAATAGAAATTTTTTCACTTGGAACGCGATAAATTTACCCGTGAATTTACACATTTTACAACGGAATAAGCAATGATTTCTGCTTACTGTTAAATTTCCATCGAATATATCTCTCGTGAAAGATACAATTTGATTAAAATTTAGTTCCATTCTCTGTGGATTTTCTTGCCTTATAAATTATTCCCGCGCGAAAGGAGAAAGATCACGGAGTTCACGTACTTAAATTCTCTTGTTACTATTGTTACCGCGTGCATTTAGAGCGTAATAAAATATGTAATATCTGTATCGTACGTGCTGTTCGTTTGAAAGTCGCTTGAAAAGTTCGCTTCCTGCAAACTGTTACGAATCGCATACAAAATCCTAACGAATATCTTATCTAACGAATCTAACGAATTTTACGAAAGTTGAGAAAGAATGAAAGATATAAAAAAATGTAAATGTTGATATATAAACAAAAAATTTTTTGACTCTATATATATATAAATATATAAATATATATATACATTTCTTCATTGATTTAGAATGCACAATATTTTACATTTTATACTATGCGATATAATTGCAGATAATAAAAATACGATGCGTCGGTGTAATTTTCGAATCATATCAAACAGAACGAACCAAGCTGCTTTAAAACGATGTATCCTATGTTTTGTATATTGTGAATTTTCTTATACTTACTTAAATGATATATAATATATATTTATATATATATTATATATATATATAATAAATCCTACTAATTTCATTTCGTATCGCTAACAATTATTATTGCGTGATTAATGATAATTAGACGCAAAAAGAAAAATTATACGAGATGCGTCGCGTATTTTTAATATCGATTAATATTTGTCGAATATATCGAATATTTGTATAATTTTTTTTTTTTTTATAAAAATTAATCGTATTTTATATCGTATTCCATTAAGGCTAAAATCTAAATCTTCTTTTTTTTTTTTCCAATTAAATTTGTGTCATTATCATCGTAAGTAGAATAAATCCTTTTTTATTTTTATTCATTTCTTATGTATCATTATGCGTATTGTAAAGTTTTTTTTTTTTTATTTTAACGTTAATTGCCGTCCACCATTAAACTTATTAATTTGTACGTTTTTGTCAAATAAATTACAATTGGAGATTAATTTGCCTATTTTACTCGAAGATAATTAATGAGAAAACCAAATTTTTACTTTTTAAGAGAATCTCTTGATTAATGTTGGTCTTGAAACCTTGACTTTCAGAAAAAGTCACAAGTAAATTCTTGAGGCAAGTAAAAAGAGTTCGATGATCGTAGGGTCCAAGGTGGACCGCTTCGTCTTAACGACCACATCTTCGAATGATTTCAAAAAATAATAAAGGACAATTCGATCCATACATCGAAGTCATAGAACTCTGGAGTGGTTTACCTTCGCGCGAAACGTTAGAGAAATATCGAACGATACTTCATACATCTACGTATGAGCAAACGTTGAAACGTTTCGATTATTATCAGTTTTAAAATTTTCCACGTAATTATCATTCCGTATTTTGTTGCTTAATAAATATTGTGCAACAATCTCTCGAAAACAAACGCGCATTATTGCACGTCCATATAAATTACGAAAACATATCGATTTTTTTTTTTTTACGTTATCTTTTTATTTATAGTCACTTTTATTTATTTATAGTTCATGAAAGCATTTATCGAAAGATTATAAAATATAAAATAATATACGTCTCAATATATAAATACTGACGCACATCCAATGAAACGAAACAAAACGAAACTGGCGTTCCGTGATCCTTTTAGGTTCGATAAATCCCAAAAACCACACGTAATAATAAAATATTACATCATATATAAAACAGCGTAAAATACTCTAGGATTTCTAGGAAATCAATTGGCCACAAAATCGATCGACCACGACAACGATCCCACGGAATCATCTATTCACGGATTATATTCAAAATTGCGAAAAATCGAAAAATAAAAGTGAATAAAAGTTTGGCCAAGACACGACACGAGGGACTTTCACCAAAACTTTCGAAAAAATTCGACTCGAGATATATCGAACGAAATAAATTAATGATGAATTAGAAGCGAAGAAAATCGAAGAAGAAGAAGAAGAAGAAGAAGAAGAAGAAAAAGAAAAAAAAAAAAATTTCATTTAATATCCAGTTTCATCGGTGGCCTCGGTGGCTTCCGTCTCTGTGAACGTTTCATCCTCCGTCTCCGCCTCCGTATCGGGCGAGTTCTGCTTCGCCTCTTCCTCGGTAGGCTGAATATCCTCGCCTATCTCCTCCCGCATCATCCTCTGCCTGGCCAACATTGGCAGCCGATGCTTGTAAGTCTTGTACACCTCGTTGGCCATGTCGGTGGTGTGGATTCGGAACTGTTGGCGTGCCGTTTCCGTGAGGAAGCTGGTCGCGGCTGTGCACTCGAGCGGCCTCTTCGGTGGCGGTTGCTCGCTCGCGAAATCCATCACCGTTGGATAACCACCGCAAACCTCCAAGAAGTCGGTGATGGACATCTGGGTGGGTAACATGGGCTCGAACGAGTCGACGACCCGCTGCTCGCATTGTTCCGGCACGTGCTCGATCAACCGTGGATCGAACACGGGGGTGACTTTCTCGAGAGGGGCGGCTTGGCCCAGATTCAAGTGCCAAGTGGTGCTGACCAGGGCGCTCGTCATGTTGTCCTTCTCCAACACGGGCTCGACGGAGGGCAGCTGGGGATTCTCGAGCTCGTAACTCTTCTGGTAACCCTCCCTCAGATTCCTGCGATACGTGAGGTAAGAGTCTTCGTCGGGGGTGGTGTGGGCGCCGGGTATAGGTCCGACAGGATCGCTCGCTTTGCCCGGGGTGGTCCTCAGAGGCTCCATCAACACCTTCCTCTTCGGCTCCCGTTTCACCACATCGGCGAAGTCCTCCTGTTGGAACGTGAACAGGATGGGGGAGATGCGGAAGTCGAGCCTCTGGTTCGTGTTGAGCATCTTGATCACCGCGTACACCAACGAGTTCATGTTTCTGCAACGTAGAACGTACATGGCCCCGTGGTCTTTGGTGAAGAGGGGCGGTCCGACCCAGCACGGGTCGGCCACGTAGTATCCGTCTTTGGCGGCCAGCGCGGCCAACGTGATCTTGTTGCATTCGATCAGAACGTTGGGGGATTCTTCGAAGGATTTTTTCAGGGCGCAGGCGAGGGTCATCCTGTTACGGGCCCCGTACAAAATCCCGCATATGCTGTCCCTGAAGTCTATGATCCACACGTGGGGGAAGATCTTGAACGTGGTCTGCAAGTTGAACCTGTTGAAGTGCTTGGTGCACCGTACCATCGAGCTTCTCAGACTCTCCGTGTAGTACGAGTCTCCGCAAATCACCGCCGAGTCCAATATGGCCGGGCCCCATCTCGACGGATGGCTGAGATACTGCATGGCGAGGACGGCGATGCAGATCGCCGCTTGATTCCTACCGGCCCGATCCCCGAATCTGGAATCGTAGCAACCGATCGTGCCCCAAACCGAGTAAATAAGATTGATCACCTCGATAGCGTAATTGTTCCAGAATTGCTTCACGTTTTGCTGTTCCGTCTCCTCCTTCTCCATCTCCTGCTTCTTCCTCTTGTTCCCCATCTTGACTATGTCAGGGGCGTGTCTGAAGTTCCAATGGTAGTCGAGGTACAACCACATGGGATCCTCCTTGAACGTTTTGAAGGGGGGCATGTTGACCGATTCCACGTGAAGGCGGTGTATAAAGAAGCCCGTCGTCTCTTCGAATTGATTCAACGTCATCTGTTTCACCATTTGGCAAATGGTGGGAAATATGCAGAGGCACGCTTTGCCGCCTCGCTCCGCTTTCTTCCCCTTCTCGTTGCATTGATAAGGATCTAGATAATAATAGGCGTTCGTCGCCCTCGAGTACCAGAAACCGTAACAGCAATTGGTAAAGTGCAAAATCCCGCACGAGCTCGTTTTAAAGAATTTTCTCACGTGCTTCCTTACCTGTTGGGCGAAGGTAGAGAGAGAGAAAAAAAAAAAAGGTAAAGATCTTTTTCTTTTTTTTTTTCTTTTCTTTTTCACGCATATAAGGATGTAAAGCTGCCTAGCTAACCTGGACGTAAAAATCGTTTTTCATGGTTCGAGGGTTGAACGTGAGCCTGACCAAGGGATAAACGACGTCCCGTAAATCGAAGATCCTGTTCATGAGGGTAACGTTGCGCAGGATCTGTTCCGTGTGAAATTTCAATTCCCCGAATTCCCTGTACACCGATTCGGCGACCTCGATCACTTTGTCGATCATGCCTGGCATCGGGCTTTGAATGATGTCCCGCTGCACCATCACCGCCAGCACGGCGACGAAGTAACACCTCTTCACCTTGGGCTCGACCACCGTGTCCCTGTTGTTGAGGGCGACCGTCCCGTGGATGAATATCGGTTTATGGGATTCGGGCAAGGTCGGCCTGAAGATCGCCTCGAGGTCGTAAGGCTTGGCCGGCATACGGTGGATCTCGGCCAAGGACGACAACGGCACGACCGGCTCGTGCAGACCTTTCGTGTCGCTGCAATCGGGATCTATCTTCTGGGCGTAGGAGACGGTGATCACTCTTATGACGAAAAACGTTTCCTTCGGTTGATCCATCTCCTGGATGATCAGTTTCAAGAATTCTCTCATGTCCACGGACGTGACGAACCTCAACTTCTTCGTCCTCCTCACGGTCCACCACGCGAAGTGATTCTCGTCCTTCTTCAAGATACCGATGTGAGATTCCCCGCAAATCAGTATCGCCCCCGTGTAGCTAGGCGTGTCGAACACCTTTTGCAACGACATGGACAGGTTCCAACCCTCGGTACTGTAAAGGGTGCCGTAGTGAAGGGGGACCGAGACGACGCGGAACACGTAGTTGGCTATCTCGAATTCGGGCAGGAGGCCGTCTATCATGTCGCTCACCGTCGAGTCCTCGGTGGCCAACAAACTGTCGAACGTGTAATCGACGCTCGCCTCGTACAAACCTTTCACCGTTCTAACCGACCAAGTTATCGGGTCGTGGATCAACGACCACGCCATGATGCAAAGATCCAAGGGGGTCGAGATCGCCGAGTGACACTTGAACTTCTTCTCGAAAACCTTCTTCCTCACCAACAACTTTATCGCCTCGAACTCGTCGTCGGCCGCCGCCGATTTCCTCAACGAGGATTTCTTGAACGGCGGCAACACGGGGGTGGTGATCTCGTCCTCGAGGACCAGCACGTCGAACATCGAGGCGTTGTAATGCTCGATGGGTGCGAAACCGGGGATGGTCAAGTCGTACGCGAGGCTCACTTTCGACTCCTCGCTCCTCACCCAATCCGATTGCTCGATCAACGATACCTCGGACGCGGTCGAGATCGCGGTCGTCTCCATCTCGGGCGACTCCTCCGCGCCTCGCCCCCCCGTCTCCTCCATCGCCTGCCTCACCGCGCTTCTCTCCACCACGCGGCCCGCCCTCTTCTTTCGCTTCTTCTTCCGCTTCCTGCTCTCCATGTGGGCTATGCATATCGTGTACACTCGATACGGTTTCTTCGTGTTCTCGCCTACGTTCCTCTCGATCCTCTCCATCATCGAGGCCAGGTCGCAGAATTCCATCAGGCAGGAGTAACCCTCCTCGGAAGCGATCCCGTTGTCGTCGCACGGGTAAGGATCGAACAAGTAGTATCGTTCGTTCGCCGTCCAAACGGCGTACGAGCAATTGGCGAACACGATGATCCCCGTTTTGTTCTTCTCGAAGAAGTT